ATCCCCGTGGATACTCAAATCCTTGGATGCTCAAGTCCCTCATATAAAATAATGTGGTTTTTACATACAGGCTACACACATCCTCCGACAGACTTTAAATCATCTCTAGATTACTTCTACCTAATACAATGTCAATGTTATGTAACTAGCTGTTAGTTACTGTGTTGGTTTGTTATTTGTATTGATGTTTATTGTTGTGTTATTATTTTTATTTTCAGATATTTTCAATACATGTAGGTTGTATCTGCAGATATGGAGCCCACACATATTTGACTGTACTTCAAATTCTTGTCTTCTTCACCAATCAACTGCTACTATGTCTTTGTTCCAGAGTCCTCAAATAGTTTCTCCCTGTCTGTTCTCCAGGATTTATAACTGCACTCAGTGGGAGAGGCGACAGGGGTGTGCCTTCTCCATCTTACCTGGAATTGAAGCTAGGTTACCACTATGTCTAATTTTTAAACACAAAATTGGAATCATACTGTACATACTTTCTGTGCTTTTCTAAAAACCAGCAAAATGTCACCAACTTTTTCCAAAGTTTGTTAAAAATCTTTCTAAAACATAATTTTTAATGATCATACATATTGCTACAATTCTATTGTTTCCATTTTCTCCCCATTTTAAATGGTGCTGCCATAAACATTTTTTAACATACATTTCTGTACAAATTTGATTATTTCCTTAGGATAATTTCATCAAAAAATTTTTGGTGCCTGGTCTCTGGGTCCAGCTGCTGGGAAGGAGGACACTCTGCAATCTCAGCACACACCAGCTCCTCCTCCTTCCTCCTCCCCTGAGGTGAATGTGCCTTCAGAAGTGCTAGCTGCCAATTAACTATGCTGCATTTTTTATGACGTGAAAGTTCGGAAATGCTCCAGGCCCCAAAAAAAAAAATCAAGAAAAGAAAAAAGGCTGTTATTTTTTGTCTCAGTGCAGACAAAGTGCGTTGTTGTAGAAGGAGGTGAAGAGATCTTGGTTGGAGATGTAGGTGCAGCCATAAGTGGTCCTTCAAGCATGTGGTGGCAATGTTTCCTGAAAAAGATGTCTCTGCACTTTGCATGAGGCAAGCTCTAAAACCAAGGAATCCAGAAGAGTTGATGGTTTTGTGTGTGTGTGTGTGGGCACCAGAACTAGCACCTCTGAAAAGTAAAATCATCTACATGAGCTCCAGGGATGCAACCAAAAAGAAACATCAAGGCATAAAACATGAACGACAAGTAAAGGGGCCAGAAGTCCTCCCTTGGGCCTGTCCCACTGGGAAGCCAGGTGGCCTTGGTTGTGGCCTCTGCAGGGTGCCCTGTGTAGATCGTCCTTCGGTGCCACAAATGGAAAGTGCCGTGTTTACTCTCATCCTCTTGTTGTGTAAATAAGGCAAATACATTTCAGCCAGGGCCTTACTGATGGGGAGCTGTCCCATCACCTAAACTATACATTCTATAAATATGTGCAAACAACCCTAAATAAATCCAAAGTCTAAAGTTTTATAGGTGTGAAATTAAATTCTTATTGGCCACGTGCCTGTTTTCATGAGCTGACTTATAAAGATTTTTGTTAAGCTCAGCATTTGTGATAATACAGTCCATAAAACAGTACAAGGCTGTGTGAAGAGAATTATTACATCTTTGTTAACCTCAGCAGTTACTTCATTTCTTTTGCTTAGAAAATTGGTCATAATGTGGTTGGAATTTTGGTCCAAATTCTTTATTCTTCCTTGAGCTAAACAGAATAACGGAATATAGTATGTCCTCATCACATATGACAGCACTAATACACTAACAACAGTAAGACTGAGTCTGGCAGTCTTTGAATTCTACCAAATGTGTAACGGAGACCCTCAGTGACCCTGCGAAGCGTCCTGAAATCCAGGAGGCAGCCTCTGCACCTACAGTGCCACTGGCTAGTGGGAGACTGCTGAGTGTGTCCTCCGGAGAACAAGCAAGATCATGTAACAACTAATGATCACGCAAATTAGGGCTCCACTGTCACCTGCTTTGTTAACAAAAATGATTAAATGGTCTGCTGACAATCTAGGAAACCTGTGGTATCTTTACTTGCCTCTCCTTCAGAACTTTGCTGCGTCTGGAATAATAAAATATGGAAGAACAAAAAAACTGTAATGCTCTTTGACTTATTCTGCCCTATTTTCCTTGAAAAGGCTTTATCAATTCACACTGACAAAAAATGTACGGCAGTATGCATTTCCCCACAACCTCAGCATGGGGAGCATCAGATATTAGAGGACTGCTCAGCCAACTTCCCAGGTCAGAACTATTAAGGTTACTTTTAAATTGCTGGTGACATTAAACAATGTTCACGCTTCTGGCCTCTGGCATTTCTCTGCCTTTCTAGTCCCTGCTCACCTTCCATGAGGTATCTTTTTATGTTTTTCTTATTGCAACTCTTTATGTCACGCAAGCTGCAATTCTTTAGTTTCATTTACCATTTAATAACTTTTAGCTGTGCTAATGTATGAAGGGGAATTTTTTGTCAAATATTTTATTTGACAGCTTCATTATGAACTTGGATCTTAGAAAGACCTTTCCCATCCTAACAACAGATAAACTTTTAGCAATTTTTTTATGTCTCCTCCTTTTCTTAAATATTTAACTCTTGAGCCCGTCTGAGGTGTATTTTAGCAGATGGTGTGAAGAAGGGACCCTTTTCTCCAAATCAATCGTTCCAGCACCATCTCTGAATAACTACATGCCCTTGCACTGACTGAAAGCTGCCCCTCCTATGCTAAACGCACATGCACTCTTCCCTGTCTCAGACTTTTACTACATGTCAGCGTCCAAGTAGGAAGATGGACCATTAGAGATGAAGGACTGAGGGCTGAGGGGCTCTGAGAACAGGCAGACAGCAGGCAATGAGGACATGAAGGGGGCCAGACGCACAGGTGCAGGGAAGAATGCGGTAGCTCAGGAGAGGGGCAGCCTGGGGACGGAAAGTGGAGGTGGGTGCAGCTGCATCAACAACTCCCAAATTCACACCCTCCCTCCCTCAAAGCCTCCCAACCCTGTACCCCAATAACTATCACCACAGGAACTCTTGCAGCCCCATCTGCCCTGTTCTGGGCCTCCTTGGGCTGAGTAATGATGGTGGTGCTCCCTCAATCCCCCCAGGGAGAGTCTGAAGTCGGAGCTGCCTCAAGCCCTCACCTGCAAAGCTCCGCCTACCCCCTGCACTGCCTGCACAGGAGAAAAACACCACATGGTCCTGTCTGAACTTGCCCCAGCATTCCTCCGAAAGTCCTGCTCAGGGTGGCCCCTCCAGGCCAACGCCCACCAAGACCCCAGCCATGTCCCCCCTGCCCAATCAACAGCTGGCCCTGCACATCGGATGGGCGTCCTGTGTTCAAGACTCACACAGATGTTCACCCTCCCCAAGGTCCTCCCTACCCTGGCCCCCAGCCCGTCCTGGTGGCCCACTCCCTGCGGATCAGGGCTGGGAGGCACCGTCCTGCTCACGCCAGGCCCCCAACAGCACATCCTGCCTGCTGGCCCTGCTCTGCATCTCCACACCTGTGCCATGCCAAGCCCTGGCTCCTGCATCTTGACAGTAAAGCCACAGTCAGTCCTGGAAGTCTGTGCACCTCCCACACAGAGGGGCCTCCCCTCACACAGGCTGTCCTAGGCCTCTGCATGCTGGGGCTGGACCACAGCCAGTCCCTGGCCTCCAGTCCCGGCCACACATACCCAGGGGCCTCCAAAACACAGCCCACCTCTTACTCCATCACTCACACACACCACTGGCACTCCCCTCGGTGTCCAGGATGTGGCACAAAGTCCTCAGACACACAGTACCCTACATCTGGCCTCTGCCTCCCTGATGCAACACAGTCTGGCCAATCCGGCCACTGGGCAGCCCCGGAACACAGCAACATGGTGAACACAGTGGCTACTCCTCTCCCCTCCCTCTGCCCCGCGTCCCTCCTGTGTCCCTCTCACCCAACCCAGGGAACAGCCGGACACCGCAGCAGCCAGGCTTCCCCACATCAGTGCCCACACACCCCTGGCCTCACCACAGCCTCACTCCTCTTCTGTCCTCTTTTTGTCCCCATAGCCAGGCACGAGCTGTCAACAGACACTTACTGAATGGGCACAGCTGTTCAGGGGCAAAGGTGAAAGCCCCTTCAGGGATTGGGAGTGGAGCCCGTTTCTCTAGTGTGTCACCTTATGGCTCCACAGACGTTATTAATAAGCCAAGTCACAGCATGGACATTGAATCTATTTACATTTATCTTCTGACAACAAAATTTCAACAGGACTAAAAGCCAATGCCATCTGTTACCACGGGAAACCGTTTCCTGGAGAAGCAGCAGCCATATTTCACACTCCTTCACCCAGACCCCATCTTTCTGGGTCTCTACACTGAGACGCAGTTTCAGGTTGGGATGCTCCACTCCGATGTCCTGTGTTCCAGGATGCTGAGCCCAGGAGGAGAGCACCGGGCAGACAGCATCCAGCCACACTCCCGTCACTTTCCCTCCAAGCAGACAGTGTTTGTGCAGGGCATATTCGCAAGCAACCAGAAAACAGTCCACTTCCACCCACATGCGAAACTCAGGGTGAACGACCCAGGCCAGGCCAGGCACATGCTGGCCCCACAGATGCCCAAGTGGCTTCACAGCGTCACTGGGGCCAGTCTAAGGTGAGAAGACCCTGGCCAGGGACGAAGGCCCTACTGGCGTTAAAGAAACAGCCTTACCTGTTAGGCACAGGATGTTTACAGACTCCCGAGAACACAGTTCATGTAAATCACTCATGAAAATGTTACATGAACTTTGACTTACATTTCTCATAAAGGCATTTTTTAAATCAGGTGAAAATTCAAGACACTGAGCCAATGTCCACACAAGAAATTAATTATACCTCACAATAGGGAAAACATCAAAAGGAATCATGCATGACTCTTGAGATCCTGAGGTTGGCCCAGCCGAGCCTGTGCTCAGAAGCCCCCCAGCCCTGGCCCCCAGCTGCCCGCACGACCGCCCTCACCAGCAGGCAGGTCCCCATCCACTCGGACACCAGCACATCCACCTTCTCGGGCAGTACCACGTCCTCCACCTTCTGTTGGAACACGGTGATGATGTCGGCAAAGCCATTCTGCAGGACCAGCTGCCCCGTGTGCTGTGCCATCTCACTGGCCTCCACCGCATACACCTGCAGCAGCAGAAGCACCGTCAGTGCACGCCCGGCCTGCACACAGCCCGTCATCTACTCTCCTGAGTCACAACCAGCATACGAGAAATGGTCAATGACACAAGAGGGAAGCAGCATTCCAGACAGCAGAGACAGCGAGGGCTGGGCCACACCTGCCCCTCCAGGGACACCCAGAAAGGAGCCGCCTCTAACCCTCCCGACTGCCCCCACCTCCTGCACAAGACACAGACGCAGGGCTGCAAGTGGGCGGAAGCCTCGCATGCCCGAGTCGGCTGCCACACGCACAGCAATCTTAATCCATGACCAGCACAGCAAGTTCTGAGCACCCAAGTGACAATGCTGGTCTGTGCCACATCTGAGGCCTGTGAGACAGTTTCAAACCCAGGGTCTCAGGGAAGGGTCTGGTGGGAAGTGCCCAAGTGCTGGGCCCTGGGTCCTGCAGAGCCTGGACTTGGGTGGACACTGTGCTGCGACCCCACCCACTGTGTAAGGAGTCCCCAAGGCTGCAGCTCGGCTCAGCTTAGCACAGCACAGATGGCCCAAGAGGAGTGGGGAGGGGGCCCAGCGTGTGCACCCCTCCCATCCCCATGGGACCATCCATACCCAAGGCCCAGCACAGACATGTGGGTGCACCTGTTTGTCTACTCAACTGAAATAAATGTCTCACAGAACATACCCCGCCCTGTGCAATTCATGGGATATTTTCTATTCTGCTCTACTCCTGTCTGTGCTGTTTGTGACTCATTACGTGGGCGCCACAGCCTCTAGCATGCAGTCTCAACACACTGCTGTTTTACCGACCCTGAGCGACACTTGCAAGGATGCTCACCAACACCACGGAGTCATCAGTGAGCCCTTAACAGCGCAGGGTCACGAGTGAGCACACTCAGAGGCCACCTCGGACATCACCAGCCTTGGCACAAACACCTGGGACGCGTTCGAGACCCCACTCACCGCTTTAGGCCGCGCATAGTGTGCACAGAAGAGACTGATGATCCCAGTCCCGCAGCCCACGTCCAGGATGACTTTATCCGTTAGGGATTCTTTGTTCTGCAGGATGACACTGTGGTATTTAGTTGTTCGTGGCTGGTCTGCCAACATTTCCAAGTGGAGTTTCTGGAAGAAACGCACATTCGGAATCACTGCCTGTGACCTAGTTCTGGACTAGAGCCATGCCAAGTTCTGGACTGAGATGGAGGGTCAGAGCCACAGCTGATGACCCCCGACCCCGCCACCCCACATCTAAAAATATGAGCAAAACACAAGAGCAACAGTACAGGCTTCTGGAGTCCCTCAGCTCAGCACAGCATGGCCAGGCGAGCAGACAGGCAAGAGGGAGCACTGTGCACACAGGGGTGCAGTGTCGCCCGGACCACTGAGGCTGGAGGGACCACCGCATCCCAACGAGACTCCCCAGGGCCAGGTGTCCGACTACAGAAAACAGCAATACACCATGAGAGAGGGGCCAGCGAAGGTGGGCAGGGGGGTCCCCCAAAGTCCTCTGCACACATGAGCTCACCCCTCCTGTTCTTGGGGAGTGCCCCGAGGGATAAGCGAGAGACCCAGCCTTGTCCTGAGGGAGGAAAATGCCTGAAACCCAAGGACACCCACATGAGAATCAGCCACCCCGAAAGGAGGCAGAGAAAGGCTTGCTCAGGGCAGCCAGCAAAGCCGCGGGCTGGAGGAGAGGCTGCACCCCTCCCACCAGCACTCTCGAGCTGCAGAAGGCCCAGCGTAGAAACAGCATCGCCAGAAAGAAGACAGGCAGCAGCCAGGAGCAGAGCGAGGACCGCCCAGACCACACCAGCACACAGGAGCCTGCACGAGGCCCTCAGAGCCCACACTGGAGCCTCCCAAGACTGCGCAGAATAAAAAACAAAGGGACAGGTGGGAGGAGGTGGGAGGAGGTGGGAGGCACAGACAACAAAGCAAGGCCCAGCTCTCCTGCCCGGAAGCAAAGGATGGGAAAGGCTCACAGTGCCAACACCAATGGAGACAGAGCTGGAGCAGCTACGTCAGCACCATACGGAACACAGTTCAGAGCAAACCAGGTTCCCATCGGTTCACATCAACACAGGAATCAATTCACCCAGAGGACATGATTATTCTAAATATTTCTGTACCTAAAAACAGATCTTCAAAATACATAGAGCAAAACCAATACAGATGCAAGAAGAAACAGATAAATTCACCATTATCACCAGAGGTTTCAACAGTGTGCTCTTAGTAACCGACTGAAGACGACAGAAAAATTGGTAAGACTGTGGAAGGCCTGGACATCACTGTCAACCAAGTCAATCCCATTGGTATTTAGAGAACACTTCACCCAACCCCTTATAATAGTAATAATAAAAAATATCTAGGAACAAATTGAACAAGAAAAGTGTAAAACCGTGTATGATAAAGAGGTATTATCCTTATCTTAAAATGCTACAAGATATTAAACAAAGCTGAAGTAATGGGAGACTGAGAATCAATGTTATAAAGATGTCACTTCTCCCAAAATTAACATAAACATTCCATGTAGTACCTACTAAAGGAGGAAGCACAACAGAATAACAAAATTAGTTTCAAAACAGTAAGTGCCCAAGGCTAATGAGGAAAATGCTTTAAAAAAAAAAAAAAAGAACTGCTGGAGACCTAGCTCTTGCAGATCTACAAAGGTGGAATGATGAAAATGATGAACCACTGGGAACTGCAGTAAACAGAGCAGTGAAATGGCAGCGATTCTGCAGCAGACTCCTGAAATCCAGAGCACGACAAACGCAGCATTTCACATCAATGGGAAGGGAACTGTCCAGTAACTGAGGCTGGGATCGCTGGATTTTTGTGGCATAAATTAGGGCGGAATTTTACATTATATTTTTTACAACGAATAAGTTATAGATTGATTTGAAATCTCACAGTTTAAAATAGGATCAGAAGGCTAGGCGGGGTGCCTCACCCCTGTAATTCCAGCACTTTGGGAAGCTGAGGTGAGAGGGTCCCTTACACCAGGAGTTTGAGGCTACAGTGAACTATGATTGCACCACTGCACCCCAGCCAGTCATACGACAGAGTGTGACACCATTTCTAAAAAACATAAAAAGTAAAAATAACATAGAATCATAACAGTTCTGGAAAAAAAAAAGTGTGGGTATTTATAATCATAGTGAGGAAGGTTTTTCACAAAGAAAAGAAAAAGAAATCACAAAGAAAAGAAAAACACATTAGGCTACACAAAGAAAAAAGTTCTATGTGGGAAAAAATTTCACACAGTCACAAAAATTCACAAATTCAAGCTTAATTAACACACGAATCAACAAAAATCAAAAGAAAGGGGCAAATAATATGAAAGTTTACAAAAAAAGAAAAATACAAAAGGCCAACAAACACATAAAAGATGATCAATCTTACTTAAAAAATGGAAATCAAAATTAAAAGATGCCATATTTAACCTTTAACATCAAAGTCCTTTTTCACTTCGATTTGTGGTAGGGAAATGGGCTTTCACACACCGTCAGTGGATCCATGCCATGGTCTGAACTGTCCCCAAAAATCCATGTGCTAAAACTTAATCGCCAGTGTGATGGCACTAAGAGGCCACCTTTGGAGGTTACTATGAAAGGGTCTGTGGTGGAAGAGGCACTCCCAGCCCTCCCACCTTCACCGTGAGGGCAGCCATGAGGCGCCATCTTGGACACCAGTGCCAGTATCCCCCCAGCCTCCAGAACTGCGAGAAATGAAGCTTTGTTCTTCATAATTTACTCAGTCTAAGGTATTTTGTTACAGCAGCACAAACTTAAATTACACACTTAGTCGTGTGTAATTAGCAAATCTTTCTGGAGGGCGGATTGGCAACATCCACTTAAGGAAACCACATGCGTACACACACACATCACACACACACCCCCCAGGAACTTACCCTATAGCAATTCTAAACAGCATTTAACAGGATTATATAGGACTCCATTACAGCATTATTTATCATGATAAAAAGCTGTTAAATAACCACTGTCCAAATAGCAGCAGGATCCTTTTAGAGTAACACAATGCGCTGCAGCTGTTATAAAGAGCGACAGGTGCCAACATGAGAGATCTTCAAAATAATACAGCTACGTGAAAAGAGCAAGGTGAAGACCTGAGTGTTGGAACAATGCCTTTTCTATACATTAAAAACATAAAATAAATTAGGTGTCACTTGGACTTCATAAGCACAGAGGAATCTGGTGGGCAGTGGTTCTTTGAGCTGAGAGGCGGCAGAGCTGGGAGGTTGGCATTGGCTTTTCATTATGTATCTTTCCTTAATGGATAGAAATCACTAACCATGTACAGACATGAATAGTTTTTAACACTTCTAACTGTGAAATATGGCATGCCTACAAAAAAGTGCAATAAAAAGCAATAAAAAGTATCTGCACAGTTTATTAAGTATAGTTGTATAGCAAACACCTCTATATCCAAACAACTCTGTATCTATATCCAACCCCAGAACACTGCCAGCACGTCAGAACTTCTGACTCAGTCACACTGGTCCCAGAGCCTCCCCCACCAGCACGTAACCTCCAACCAACTCTCAGGGGAGCCACTCCCGCCCTCAGTCTCACCACCCAGGCGCACTCACAAACAGTACCTTCTGGCCGAGCACGATGGTTCATGCTTGTAATTCCAGCCTTTTGGGAGGCTGAGACAGGAGGATCACTTGAGGCCAGGAGTTTGAGACCAGTCTGGCCAACATAGTGAAACCCCCTCCATTAAAAATACAAAAATTAGCCAGGAATGGTGGCACGCACCTGTAGTCCCAGGTAAACAGGAGGCTGTGGCAGGAGAACTGTTTGAACCCAGGAGGCAGAGGCTGCAGTGAACCGAGATCCCGCCACGGCACTCCAGCCTGGGTAACAGAGCAAAACTCTGTCTCAAAACAAACAAACAAAAAAACCTTCTAATGTGGCCTCTTAACTTTATGTAATTGAGTCAAACGTTACAGAATCTTTGCCCTATTACTTCTTTCACCTAACATTATTTTTATAACATTCACCCTGCAAGTAACTGTTTTCATCTAGTTTTAAAATGTAACCAGAGATTGTTGCCTAGACCATCAGGTTATAGGCAATTTCTCTATGGTGGGGAAAAAAATTCAGTAAGCTGTTTAGAAGTTGGGCTTTTATTATTTTTTAAGGGACAGAGTCTGGTTCAATCACCCAGGCTCGAGTGCAGTAGCGCAATCATAGCTCACTGCAGCCTTGAACTCCTGGCTTCAAGTGATGCTCTGACCTTAGTTTCCCAAAGTCCTGCGATTACAGGCATGAGCCACCACACCTGACCTAAGTATTATTCTTCACAGATTTATACAATTATTTCTTTTTTTTTTTCTTTTTGAGACAGGCTCTCGCTCTGTAGCCCAGGCTGAAGTGCTATGGCACCATCATGGCTCACTGCAGCCTCAGCCTCCAAGGCTTGAGCCATCCTCCCACTTCAGCCTCTCGAGTAGCTGGGACTACAGGCATGCATCACCATGCCCAGCTAATTATATATATATATAGTTTTTTGTAGAGACAAATTATATTTTTTATTTTTTCTCACTATGTCGTCAGGCTGGTGTTAAACACTTGGCCTCAAGCGATCCTCTTGCCTTGGCCTCCCAAAGCGTAGGGACTGCAGGTGTCAGCCACCACGCCCAGTCTAATTTCATTTTTAAAGTAAAATTTACTACTTTAAAAAAAAAATGCTGCGAGAACATGCACATAATCTCACTGCTCAAAATCGTATCTCTAAGCCAGGGGTCAGCAAACTAAGCCATGGGCCAAATCTAGCCCACCACCTGTTTTTGGATGGCCTGCAAACTAACAATGGTTTTTACACTTTTAAATCATTTAATCAAAAGAATAATTTGTGACACATGAAAACTGTATAGTATAAATTCAAATTTCAGGGTCCATAAATAAAGTTTTATTGGAACACAACCCTGTACACTTTGTGTGTCATCCACAGTGGCTTCCACACAACCATGTCAGAGCTGAGTGGCCGCAACAGAGACGCTCTGGCCTGCAAGACTATGGACCTGCTCTGAACGATGCAGTAGGAACTAAAGCTAGAGAGAACCCACCGCCTGGCCAGCTGAACAGGGAATTAAGAAAACGATACCAGAGTTCCATAGCTGCCGAAGTACTCTTCATCCTGCCACGTGTCTTCCGGGTCGTACTCATCCATCTGCCTCCCCACATGGTTTGCCGGAATGTACCCACAGTAGCCCGCACGCTCGCCCCACCACCAATCAGCAGTGGTTTGTCTCAGGATAAGAATTTTTTCTCCTCTCAAAAAACTGAGCTGGAAAAAAAAAAGTTAAAATTCAATTCAATAAGAAAACCAGTCATTGGTATTTCAAGTGTGGCTCAGTAATAAATCCCACCGATGGTGACAAAATCACAGAGATTTCAAACAGCAGTCAGTGGGTAATGACAGCAACTAAACGTTTGCAAGTGACACCACAACTTAGCGATACCTCTGGAACGTCTACCTGAAAGGAGGGCACAGCTTAACTGGTATTTTTTAAACAAAGGAGTAAACATTTTCAAATGGCTTAGGAGAGAATTTCTCAACAGCCTCTTCATTGTAACTCAACTATGCCAACTGACTTACTGGAGGCTTAGGCTAAGAAATTCCTGTCACCAAGTCAACGAAGCTACATCCAAGGAGATATAGCTTGATATATTCGGTAGCCTTACTTTTCATCAACTGGGTGGGTTCTAAATTCCAAGGAGAAACCAGAACAGGTGCTTCTGCCCCTGGCTGAGGGTCCCCACTCCACACCTGGTATTTTCACATGTGCTTGGGGCAGTACCGGTTAGGCTGTGAGCTTCACACCCAGGTCTTGTGTGGCCCTAAGCATCTGAATACTTCTTCATTTAACTTGGATATGATTTCTGCAAAATTTATCTCATTTTGCCACTGAACATGCTGAAAACCACAAAGCACTGTCCACCACGCATGGCTACCTGGGTCTCATCAGTGGCAGCATAGTCTGCGATGGCCACGAACTCCTCTGGCTGGACTCCCTCCTGCAGGAGACCGGCCTCACTGTACTCAGCAGGCTCTTCTTCCTACTCAAAAACAAGGAAAGGGTGAGGAGAGGACGTGGGAGCTTTTTTTTTTTTTTTTGGCTATGTTATTAGGATGGTTTCAAATTTCAAATACAGATTCATGTGTCCAAGTATTTATTATACAAACCATTTGGATCATCTTTACTACTATAATCAAAGGCTGTCACCGTCACTCTATATTTCTTTAAAAAAAAAATGAGTTGGACCCTAAAAGAGAACATCAAAGCAAGAAGTCAGAAACAGGTACTGCCAGTGTCTATCTGGTGAGGAGCCCTTGTCCTTCATCGGCCATGCTTCCTGAACGTGATCATCAACCCTACGAAGAGAAACCAGTGTGAGGACAGAGCCGGGGGCCCAGCGTCCCAGGCAGGCACAGCCAGGGGCCTGTGGAAAGAGCTGATGGCAGGGCACAAACTTCCATGAGGCAGCAGAGCCCAGCTTGGACCCACATGGTTCCTTGGAGCCTCCCCCAACCCCTCCATTTTTTTTTTTTTTTTTTTTTGAGACAGAGTCTAGTTCTGTTGCCCAGGCTGGCATGATCTCAGCTCAGTGCAACCTCTACTGCCTCCCAGGTTCAGGCGATTCTGATGCCTCAGCCTCCCAAGTAGCTGGGACTACAGGTGTGCATCACTACACCCAGCTAATTTTTTGTATTTTTAGTAGAGATGGGGTTTTGCCATGTTGCCGAGGTTGGCCTCGAAATCCTGGGCTCAAATCCACCTGCCTCATTTTCCCAAAGTGCTGGGACTACAGGCATGAGTCACCATGCCTGGCCGTCCACTTTATACAAGAATAAGTTTGCCTGGAAGACATCACTGCAGAGGGCAGAACCTCAAATCACACACTCCAGTTCAATGAATCAACCCTGTCTCAACACAAACACTTTAAACACATTTTCCTAAACATAAAAGTAATTCGTGTTTACTTTAGAAAATGTGTGAAAACACCAAGTACACAGAAGAAAATTTCACTCACTGATCACAGATAATAACAGACAGCACACTGGTATTTATACTTTCAGACTTTTAAAAAAGTGGACATGTAACACAAGTACAAAGCGTTCACTGGGTTCACACAATAAGCCTGTGACCTATGGTTTTCACTCTATAAACTCTGAACATTTTTCGTATTAAATAGACTTCTAACACTATTTAGTATCTGTCGAGTATTCCAGTCTATGAATTATCATGGCTTACCTATCCAGTTTCCTAGTCTCGTACATTTGGACTTCTCAGTTTTTACTATTCTAAATTACGTTAGGATGAACTTCCTTCAACAGAAATCATTCTGCATGTACCTTAATCTTCTTAGGGTAAGTCTCTGAACATGAACTTGATGGACCGAGACTATGCGTACTTTACGGCTTTTGGTTTTACCACCCAGTGCCTTCCAGTAAGGTGTTCCTTGGGCTGCTTGCTGAGAGGGAACAGCCAATCTTCCCACACTCTCAATAGATACCAATCACTTTAGTCTCTGTCAATTTGATGGGTAAAAATCACTTTTTTACTTCCATTTGCCTCCCTTTGTGTGGTTAGACGTTTTTAAAATACTTGCCAGCATCTTTTTTTACCTTGTTAACTGCCTGTTTGTACCCTTTGTGCTTTTCCCTATGCCAGGAGCATGACTCACAAGGCAGCACTGCCCTCTGCTTACTCTCCACCCCATCACTGATCCACCCAGCCCAGGCAACCCTTACTAACTCCCCGGTGTGCGGCCTTCCACACCCCCACCATGCCCATGTTATACACAAACCCCTGTATACACATATACATACACACACACACACACACACTCACACACACACACACACCCCCAGGCCCTTTCTTTGCTTGGCTTTTCTTTTTTTTTTGAGATTGGAGTCTCGCTCTGTCACCCATGCTGGAGTGCAGTGGCACAATCTCGGCTCACTGCAACTTCCACCTTCCCAGTTCAAGCAATTCACGTGCCTCAGCCTCCCGAGAGGTGGGACTACAGGTGTGTGTCACTATGCCTGGCTAATTTTTGCATTTTTGGTAGAAATGGATGGGGTTTTGTAATGTTGGCCAGGCTGGTCTCGAACTCCTGACTTCAAGTGATCTGCCCACCTCAGCTTCCCAAAGTGCTGGCATTACAGGCGTGGGCCACCAAGCCTGAACTGCACTTTGCTTTTCTTACACAATACCTTCTGGAAAAACTCTCCAACTGTCAGAACCCTGATTTATTACTTTCAATGGCTATACGATATTCCATAGCAGGAACTTCGCTTGATTCTTCAGCCATCCCCCATTGATAGACTTTGTCTTGGGATCCAGTTTTCTACCACCATAACTGATGCTGCAACAAAAGAAGTCTGTGCACAGATAAGCTTATCTGATGACATTTTATTTCTGTGGGATAGACTGCCACGGTTGAAGAATACGTTTTTTTTTTTTTTTTTTTTTGAGATGAGGTCACCCTCTGTCACCCAGGCTAGAGTGCAGTGACACGATCCTGGCTCATGGCAATCTCCACCTCCCAAGCTAAAGCAATCCTTCTACCTCAGCCTCTCAAGTAGCTGGGACTACTCTTCATATAATATAGATCCTATTTGACATCTCAAGAAATTTTTTTACAAACATATTGTTTTCCCAGTTATCTTGTTTAGGATCAGCAACTTCAAGAGTCAGCTCAACAGAAATTTTCCAAACTGAAGCACAAAAAGAAAAACAAACAAACAAACAAAAACCAAATAAGAATAGAGCATGAGACATGTCAAACAGCAGCAAAAATTCTAACTTATGTTTACATGGCGACCCCAAAAAAGAAGAGAGAGGATGAGGCAGAAAAAAATAAATGAAGAGATAATGGTGGAGATATTTCCAAAATTAACAAAAAAAAGATCATCAAGGCCAAAGTGGGTAGGTCACCTGAGGTCAGAAGTTTGAGACCAGCCTGGTGAACATGGTGCAACCCTGTCTCTACTAAAAATGCAAAAAATTAGCCAGGCGTGGTTACTCGTGTCTGTCATCCCAGCCACTTGGAAGGCTGAGGCAGGAGAATCGCTTGAACCCAGGAGGTGGAAGTTACAGTGAACTGAGATCACACCACTGCACTCCAGCCTGGGTGACAGAGCGAGACTTCGTGTCAAAACAAAACAAAACAAAACAAACAAACAAAAACTCATTAACTCACAGATTCAAGAAACTCAACTAATCCTAAGTGGGAAAAACAAGAAGAAAACTGGTAAAAAACCCCAAAATGAGAAAAATCCTAAATGCAGCCAATGTGAAAAAGGAATACATTACATTTAGCGGAACAACAGTAAAATATTGCTGACTTCTCATCAGAAACAGAGGCCAGAAGACAGTAAAATAGCATCTTTAAAGTGTTAAATAAAAACTGCAAACCTAAAATCCCGAATCAAGCTATTCTTCAAAAATGTAGGCAAAACACATTTCATAGTTTGACACAGCAGACTCACACTAGTAAATATAAACATATAGCTGTCAGGTTGAAGGGAAATGATCCTACATGAAAACACAGAATGCAGGAAAAAAGGAAAGATCTCAAAAAAGGCAAATAATATGTGGGGAAACATAAAAGACTATTTAACTTTATTAAAAAAAGACTCAACAATGACAATTTATTGTGGGGTTTACAACATATGTAAAATTAAAATGATACATCAACAGTACAAAAATATGGGTGCTGGTAAATGAAACTAACTTATAAGATCTTTACCTTATGAAGCGGTTAAAAAAAAAAAGACTGAAATTGAGAGGATGCATATTGCAATTTCTTTGGAAAACACTAAAATAATATGAAAAGATACAGCTAACAAGCTAGTAAAGGAGGTAATGTGGAATTATAGAAAATATTTATTAATCCACAAGAGGGCAGGAATGCAGATATGCACAAAAAAGAAATGAGACAAACATAAAACAAATAGCAAGATGTTACACTTAATCATATTAGTCATTACATTAAATGTTAATAGACTAAATACTCCAATTAAGAGGCAGAAATTGTGTTTAACAGAGCCACAAAAAAAAGACCTAAGAGCTAGACCCGACTAGCTCTTTACAAGAAAAATGCTTTAAACATAAGGACTGGAGGGAAAAAAAAAAATACACACACACACACACTCTTTATTATTATAAAAATATTTTTATATTTATTATATAGAAAATAAAGTATATTATTATAGAAAATACTTTATTTTCTATAATTTCCCTAAGAATGGGAATATTTCCCTATGCCAGGAGCATGACTCACAAGGCAGCAATGCCCTCTGCTTGCTCTCCACCCCATCACTGATCCACCCAGCCCAGGCAACCCTTACTAATCCCCTGGTGTGCGGCCTTCCACACCCCCACCATGCCCATGTCATACACAAACCCCTGTGTACACACATACATACACACACACACGCACACACACACACACCCAGGCTCTTTCTTTGCTTGGCTTTTTTTTTTTTTGAGATGGAGTCTCGCTCTGTCACCCAGGCTGGAGTGCTATAATAATATAGCTGGTATAGCTATATTAACACTAAAAAAAGGTACATGCAAGAAAAGAAGTATTTATTAACAGGTAAAAAGACAGATATTTTATAAAAAATAAGGTCGATTAATCTGGAAAATAAAACCTATACTAAATATATACACCCAATAACAGGGACTCAAAATATACAAAGCAAAAAGTGATAGAACCAAAAGGAAAAATAGATATATCTACAATCATAGTGGAGAATTTTTAGTAACTGACAGAAAATGGCAAAAAAAAAATCAGAGAAGACAGAGTTTTGAACAATACTAATAACACATTTGATCTTAATGGCATGTATAGAATGCTATACTCAACAACTGCAGAATACATAGTCTTTGCAAGTACTCATGGAACATTCACCAAAATATTCCATATGATTAGAATATAAAGCAGGTATGAATAAATTTCAAAAGACTGAAATTATAGAGGATGTTATGTTCTCTAACCAAGGTAATTAAAGCAAAATTAAATAAGAAAAAGTAAAATTTCCAAAATGTTTAGAAACTAGTCAACATACTTTCAAATAGTCCAGAAAATTTCTAATTTCCACTGAATATATTAGAAAATATTTTGAATAATGAAAATGCACTGCATTTAAATATGTGACGTATAACTGCAGCAGTGATTAGAGGAAAGTCATAGCTTTAAAGACTATTAAAGAAAGGTTTAAAATCAATTATCTAAGCTTCTCTCTCAGATGCTACAAAAATTAACCCAAATACAACAGAAGGAAATAAAGACAAAAGCAGAAATCAATGAAATAGAAAAACAGAGAAATCAACACAGATAAAATTGGTTCTTTATAAAAATAAAATTGATAAAACCCTAAAAAAAAGACTGATCAAGTGGGAAAAAAGGAGATAAAATACAAATTACCATTATCAGACATCTATTCTATAATGGAGGGTAGTATTAACAGGATGAACACAAGTATTACTGAAGTACCACCATGACCCTTAAGTAGTCAGCAAAATTAAAGTAACAAGATACCATTTTTTAACCCATGAGACTGACCAAAACTTAAAAGTCTGATGCTGTCAAGTGTTAGCAAGCACTATTGTGGGCTACTGACCTGTGAACTAGTAAAGTCATTGTGGGAAACAACTGATCATTGCCCAGTAAAACTGAAACTTGCGGTCCTTTGCACCCTGCAATGCCATTATTGGAGCACAGAGGCATGGAGAAGGATGGTCACTACAGCATTGTTTGAAATAGAAAAAACTAGAAACAACTTAAGTGTCCAACAAAAGGGGAATAAGTAAAATGGGGTATATGCCTACTGTATAGCAGTGAGACTGCAACAGGCCCATACACATAATTACAGCTAGGATACTTTATACTTTCAGAGAAGGAATACACTACAGGAGCACCCTACAGTGGCAGGATTGAACCAGCATTACACACATATCAACAAGGACAAATTCCCCAAAGGTAAAGTTAAATGAATAGGCAAGCTACAGGTGACACTGAGAGTATGACACCACTTATGGAAACTCTAAAAAGCACACACAAACAATATCATATGTCATTCAACGGTATCTATATAAGCCACAGAGGTATAAAAAATGGTGCAGTGACACAAAACAGATTCAGGATTCACAGTAGTGTTTGCCTCTAGAAAGAGAAGAGGAAAAATAGGACTGAGATTGGGGAACAAACTTTATCTAGAGGGTTGCTTTTTCTTTTTTAAGATATGAAGTCTCACTTTATTGGCCAAGCTGGAATGCAGTGGCTATTCACAGACACAATCAGAATACACAACACCCTCAAACTCCTGGCCCCAAGTGATCCCCCCGCTTCAGCCTCCTGAGTAGCTGAACTACAGACACATCCGACAGTATTTATTTTATAAATATAGATATATAACCTAATGTACACTGTTTAATGCACTTGATGTTTACAATATCATTCTGGAAATGTCCTAATATTTGTTAAATTTATCAAAAGAAAAATAAGATGTCCACGGAATTAAAACATTTTATGAATAATTAAAGAAATCAATGAAAGATGCTAATTATAAATAAAATTCCTATATATAAAAACCCAAATGAAAACAGATCATTGGAATGAAAGAGAAAAAAAAGAAAATATTAAAATTGACATAACAGATACGGAAATGTTTAAAAACAGTATCTATTATTCAGTTGGTGAGTTTTACACAATCAACATTCCTTAAAATTTGAGGGTTTTTTTTACTGCTAACTTGAACAAAACTACATGAGTACCCTAGGCAGAAACAGTATGAATACATAAATCTTTTCTAATGTGTCCAACTTGCCTTCAATACATTGCTGGTATTATGCCTGAAATTGTATTGAACAGCTCAGAAAATACGTTTGCTTTGCCATTTCACATATCAAAAATGGAACCCTAAATGATGGTGATGTTTAGGGCCTAAGTATTTCCTTAGAAGTGTTATGGTGCCCAATGCAGGATGTCACCTTAGAGACACTGTGTTTCCTCTGCCTCACAATCTTCACATTTAAGCATTCTACTGCTGGTGGCCACCTTCCAAGGCACAAGTCAAGCTCCACCACATCTGTGAGCTGACACTTAGCTCTCTGTAATGTTCACATTCATTAAACACAGATTTTTAGGAACTGGAACCGAAATTACCTGCGATTCACTTCTGGGACAGTCACCTGATGTTGCCATAGTTCTCTTAGGCTCTGCCTCATAACTGCTGCTTTATTTCATTTTCTTCTCCATTTCTACTTTTAAAAAGA